TCCTGTTCGTGTTCCGGCATCTGTTTTGCCTTAGTGAACTTTGGTTTGACGTGAATATTTGCGTTCCGGGACGTTTGATTTACAAATTAAGCATTTGATATTTGTCTGAAATTTGAAGGACTGTTTCTCCAACGTTAAGACTGCTGCACAAAAAAATTATATATATATATATATATATATATATATATATATATATATATATATATATATATATATATATATATAAGACTGCTGCTTGCGTGGGCCCCCTTGTGGCTGTGGGCACCTGGGCCTGTGCCCACTTTGCCCATATTATAATCCGGGTCTGCTCCAGGGACATTTGACGAGCCAACACAATCTCTTTCTCAAATATAACGGGAAATACCCAAATGTTTTTAGAGTAAAAGTGAGCCAAGTCGAGCGGTGCTGACACTATAGAGAAGGGACATAATAAACAAACCACCCTGGATTTTAGAATGAGCAGAGACCACCTCCTCCAATGGCTCTCAGTATTTTTCTTTTTTCCACATGCCAGTGGAATTACTGTGTTCAAACCTGCAGAAATGAATTGCATGAAGGAGGAAAATCATAGGGTTAGCTTTAAATGGACTAAACACTGCAGATGTTAAAATGCCCTTAAATACAACAATGCCAAAAGCAAGTGATTAATAACACTGTAATACTTTCACACTAATCCCTCAGGTAAGATTAAAAAGGTTTATGCATTTTGGATGCACATTATTCAAATATTCCCTCGTTGCTGTGACTAAAATGGCAGCGACTAATGAAGACAACCAGCCTCTGGGATCAGACTTGGGCTGAAGGAGATGACAGTGTGGCATCTGCCCTGATATATTTAATGGGGATTTCACGGCGAGAGCGGGCGACAACTCGCTCTAGCCTGCAATTCTAAGCAGAGGGGGATTGTAATGAAGACAAGTTGGCAGTCATTTGCATGTCAAAAAGCCCAGAGACACAAAGACAATTGAGGCTTACCAGGAGGTATATAGAAACACAGATGTTAATGCATGGAGTCTGACACCAGTGATCATTTATAGATCAGTTAAAGCTCAGGGTGGTACATTGGTGTTTGGAAAGAAAGAAAACACCGTTTAGATGGGATTTAAAGAGGTGTTTCCCGCTATAGAGAACATGGATGTTACTATGGTTGAAGGTTTTTGTTTGGATAAACAGCTGTAGAGGAATTATTCAGTGTTTGCACTGGCTGTAGAGATGAGATCACTTAAATTGGAAAAATTCCCTCATTTATTTATTTTTTCTCTGCACTCGACCCATCCTTACATTTGTAACGGCCAGTGGGCTGAGATCTGCATCACATCTGGGGTGCAACTTTGGGTTTCATAAACTTGCCCGAGGACGCTCTGGCATGTGGCCTGCTGAGACTGGGGATCGACCCTATGACCTTCTTTTAGGTCATATGCCTATGGCCTTCTTCCCGTTCAGCCACTGCTGCCCTGTTTTAGCCATGTTCAAGTGTATGTATGTGTAAAGGTTATAAATAGTTACTACCATACCCATTGTGTTTATGTCCTACAGAACTCACAGTGGCTTGTCTGAGAGCAGCCATGTTTTACATCACATTACTGTTTCTCCCTAGGGTAAACTCTTGGATGACTGACAGGGCTATCTTACAGATGCTAGTGATGGAATCACTTTACGTTAAGGCTCCCCTCGCGAAAATGTTATTAATTAGTCTGTTGCAATTTATGAATGTTAATAAGTGTTTAAAATGCATTAATTAAGGGTAAGAAAGTGACCAAACGGACACTTTACAATTTGCCTTTATGTGATTGATGTGCATATTTATAATGCAGTGATCAAGCACGATCCATCCATCCATTTTTGTCCACTAATCTGGAGTCAGCCTAAGCAGAGAGGTCCAGACTTCCCTCTCCTCAGCCACTTGGGCCAACTCTTCCAGGGGAATCTGTGTTTTCCTTCTTTATGAACACCATTGGAGTTCACACTGGCATTCTCATGGCATTGTGTCTAATATATCAATATTTAGAGCATAAATACACTTGTGGGTTTTTGATGTCTGTTTTCTCCTTGATCACAAGTTCTCAATGTGATTCAGCACTGAAGAGTTTCCCAGCACACACCCCATGCTTTTTAGGCACCAGTGTTTACAGTTGTGTGATTGGTTGAGTGAATCCATTATCTTGGTTGGGACACAACCTCACACATGAAGTCTCAGGATGTTTAACATGGCATGACACAGGTCTGACAGGATTGCTCACCTTTTCTTCTCTCAACAGTCCTTTTCTAGATGCCACAAGCAACTGGGAAAGTGGCTTGATCAGTATTCATCATCAGTCCAATTCCTGGACCTTTAGCTGAGCATCAGATGGTCACTGATGCTTTCTTAGAGAGAAGGGGCTTCTTTGCTGCTTTTCTCCCAACCTTCTGAAAGTTTTCTCTTTACTGTTCATCCACCTGCTTCCTGCCATTACTGATGCAGTTCTGTACTGATGGAGCTCAGATCCTATCTGGACTTTGGGGCATTTTGAAGCTATAGATAAGAAGACCTTTTACATTAAGATTCCTCTGGTCATGCTTAATAATATTCTAGAAATTATGCAAACTGCCATTATGAAAACTGTAGAGGAAATTTCATTTCCATCACACCTTAAAGGGACATTATGGAAGTTTGACAGCCAAAACATGTATAGAAATAATAAATTTCTTCTTCATACCTTCTCCTGCAATGCCCTGGTCCTGTAGAATGAGCCCTGGCATTTTTACTGTGATTGCCTGTTTTTGTGTAAAATCACAGAAAAAGAGAGTTGCTCGGGTCGAGCAGGCTGCTTCATGCGTGTTCATGCTCAGGCATAGCCCGTAGCATTTGCTATCAGTAGCTTTAGCAGCAGCAGAGAGAGGTAGTGCCAACTCAGCGACTTTGTCACTGTTCCTAACGCCTAGTGACGAACCTAGCTACATTTCTGAGGACCCTTAGCTACTTTCTTCTAGATATTTCCAGCAAATTAGCAACAAAATAGCCATTTTCGCTCCGAACCGTTCTTTGAACGTGGTTTCAGCTGTCATCAGGAATATAAATGTTACAGATGCAAAAGATGTCATGGGTGCTATAACTCACCTGGATAGATGTCAGACTCTCGTGCAGAAGACCTGAGTTTGATTTTGGACGTGAATTTAGTTTAGGTAGAGTTTCTTTTTTACATTAATGGTATATTTTTTTTACAGTAAGATTACCACATTTTTATTTGAGACTCGCCGAACGGCATTGAATTCACAGATAAAAAAGATGTGGGTTCAACTTTCATTTTGGAACAATTTTTCAAGCAAGGGAAGGGAATGATCTGAGCATGCAGGAGGACTGACCCATCTTAAACCTTTGTCAGCTGTGCTGAAGAGAAAGTTACAGAACCAAATTATTTAATTAATTAGCTGCACGTTCTCCTGTCCTCCGGGTCACACACACACACACATACACACACACACACACACACACACACACACACACACACACACACACACACACACACACACACACACACACACACTGTATTTTCGTTAAGGAGTGTGCACATACAGCATGCGCGCCTTGTGCACGAGCCTACTATTGAAGCTGCCATTACGCTTTTGGCCTGAGGGGGCAATCGCGAGCATAAAAATTCAAAACTCTGTAAAGTCCCTTTAAAGAGCCAGTTCACCATTTTTTCTCTCTGTCACTTAACATTCATTGACTCGACCATCTTGACACGTAACGGGGTTGGCTGTTATTGGTTTAGCATCCGGAAAACATCTCAGCTAGTAGAAGCTAATTGTTAGCACTAGTAACTCCACCGCACGGCAGAACTCCTTCAGGCTTGTGTTATTAGTGGGGATAAAAAATCAACATTGCAGAGCAGAGTCAGCGGTAGAGTCATGTTGATGTTAGCCAATCAGAGACAAGATGTCCAAATATCAGGAAATAAGACTAAAAATCCTGCCGTCTACTGCCACTTTCTCCTCCAGCTGACTTCTGCACCCTGAAACAGGAGCACCTGAGCTCTTTTTCCACAGAGAACGACTTACAAGGCATTCATTCCTTCTAGAGACCACTGCAGATGCATTCAAGGTGCACGTAAGCCTGATCCTTAAGGTGGCTGAAACATCCCTCAAAGGCACATGCATTCTCTCTCTCTCTCTCTCTCTCTCTCTCTCTCTCTCTCTCTCTCTCTCTCTCTCTCTCTCTCTCTCTCTCTCACTCTCACTCACTATATATATATATATATATATATATATATATATATAGTGTTGTTTCTGTGCATATAAATCAGTTGCTTCCTGAAGATTTAGATACTTAAGGGAAATTTAAGGACCAGCTGTCGTCTCACATCCTGATGTACCGATTCGCTCCAGCTGAATGCTAAGCAGTCATACTAAATCAGTCCTGCAAAGGTGTCAAGGGAGCATGCTTGATTTTTCTTTTAACAAGAATGACCACTTTTAGTGTGAAATCAGGGAATTGTACTAGTCGGGTACTTTGGGAGTGTATTATCAAAGGCATAGCGAATATAATTTGGAGCAGTTGGATGGAAATATAAAGTCCTGTGCTGACTCACCACAGGCAGCAGCGCATCCTTAAAGAAATATACAGAAAAGTTGAGATTGACTTCCTGGAAATGCCTCTCACACCACACGGTTACTCGTGATCTTCCTGAGTCCAGGGATGACTTCTGACTTTCCTGCAGCAGAATTAAGACTCAACTCGCTTTTTTAGCCCATTAATACAGGAAGTAAGAATCAACTATTTGCTGCAGTGAACATGTAGATTCTCCTCATCCTGCCTAATCTCACAGGGGGAAGTTGACTGTTGTCTTGGAAAAATCTCACAGGTTTATGAAATTATTAAGACACCAGACTTGTTTCTGTACATAAAAATGGGTGTTTAATTGAAACTTTTGTATCAAAAAATAGCAATATCCATCCTTCACAGCCACAAGTCACACGGCTAAAGTGAAATGTCTGCAATAAAAGGCTATGTGACGACTATAAAACTGTTCCGCCTATCGTTTATTTTACTGTAAAACTTAAAATGAATCTTGACAGAACACAGACCGGATTTTATACTCTTGATAAGTCATCATTCTTCACTAATGAACTTCTTTTTTAAAATCTCAAAGTAATTAAATAACATTCAAATGCTCTTTTTATAAATTTAAGTAAACGCTTTATTCTGCTTTACATTGACAACCGCTTCAGTGCATCCTCCACATCTCAGGAAAGAAAACCTTTTATGAAATGTAAAAATAAATTACAGGAATGCAAACCAAAAGGCCAAAAGTGGGGTATGCAAACTTGTTAGGGAGAATTTAAGCAAAGACAATAAATAAATAAATAGCCACAGTGTGGAATGTCTACATGTTTATGAATAAATTAAATGCAAAGGAGGGAAAAATGTACACACAAAAAAAAAATATATAACACACACTGTACAATATCTGTAGAAAAAAAAAACAGAATCTATGAATATTGCATTGATTGTGCATCTACACCCAAAACCTTGAGGGGGAGGCCAGGGGTGAGGAGGGCCACGTGGTGTCAAGCGGTGAGAAGGTGGGAGGCAAAAAGGAGATAGGAGGTCGAACCCTCTGCAACGGGCATGAGGGAGAAGAAGGTGGTGGTGGGAGGGGGTGTTGACTTTTAGTAGACATTCAGAAACGACAGGATTCAGCTTCCAGACACCTGTTCAGGCTTTAGAGTGAATAAGCAGCGTTAAAGAGGAAAAACACAGCGAGTTGAGCGTTTCAAGTATTTAATTGTAAATAAGAGACACCACTTTCTTCTCCTGCATCAACTTTGCCTCTTGGCTGGGGGGTGAAGAGAGGGGGAGATGACAGCCCCCCTCTCTCACACCACAGACAACTTTACCACCTTACGGTGGGCAATCTCCAAACATTAGAGTTGTTGATGAAAGCCCCCAGAAAAAAGCAGCTTCCCAAAAAAGGCACTCCAAAATCAAAAAAATGAAATGAAAACTTTTCTCTAAGCTCTATGAGAGCAGCCATGTCTGAATCAGAGGGCCTTGCCAGCTGTGTTTACCAGCCTGGTAACAAAAGTAAAAATAAAGGGGGTGGGGGTAAATAAATAGTGCTGGTAAGACCACCCAAACAGCAAAAAAATGTTCCCCAATTGGAAACAAGTATCATCACTTGAAATGAAAAAAGGGGGATGGGGGGAATAAGATAAAGAACAGTAATAAATTAGAAATTCCCTACAAAAAAGGAAAATTAATGTACTCTTCTGTTTTCCATTTTTTAATGTTACTGAGCCAGATGGCTCAAGCCCCACTGCTGAACTTGAGTCCGTGTGAGTCTCTTCCACCCTTCTTTCCTCAAAGTCTTTTCAGTCCATCAAAGCCACACTCAGAGGCTCTCCTTGCTCGAGCTTGTGCTTGACGAAGAGTCTGTGTCGATGGTTCTGAGCCGGATGTCGCCAGCTGAGGGCTCCTCAGCCGTACTGGGCGACTCTGCTGTGACCCTCATCCAGGGGTGATCGCAGATCTGCTCAAGGGTGGGCCGGTCCGAGGGCCGCAGGGCCAGGCACCATTTGATCAGTTGCTGGCACTCTGAATAAGAAAAAAACACACACGAGTCAGTTTGCAACATAGAGCAAATTGATTAGTGGACTTAGTCTGTAGCAGCAGCTAGAGGGCGATCTAAGCGTTGTGTACACTCACCAGCTGAGATCCTTCTCCTGAAATACAGCCTCCCTCTGAGGATCTCTTCATCCTGCTCAAAGGGAATGTCTCCACACACCATGTCGTACAGAAGCACGCCTAGCGACCACACCGTCGCCGATCTACCGTGGTATCTGTGAAAGCGGATCCACTCTGGTGGGCTATAGACTCTTGTACCTGTTGCAGCAGACAGAAAAAATACGAGTTTTAGTTAAACAGCTGACTCACAGTCTCCCTCTAACCACACAACATGAACGTGGTGACCTGTCTGCAGCCCCTCCCCCCTCTTCTCCCGTTTCTTTTCCTCCCTCCTCCCATCTGGAAGGAGGAACTTACATATCAAGCCCATCACGTGAACCACCGACTCCGGTTTCACAACAAACCAATGTTTGGTGGCTCTGACCCGCCATCCACAACAACTACTCACCATGACTCCGAGTTACCGGAAACAGCACAAACCAAGCTCCCAAAACAACCATGCGTCACATATTTTAGATTTAGCGTCGTTTTTTTAACGAATTATCACGATCGGAAGAGGAAAACCCTCGACCAAAATCAGACGACTGCGTCAGAGGCTCGTGAACGCCTCCATGTCTGGATTTAGCTCAGCGGAGCATCAAGGGCAAACACAGCGCAGCCCACACGGTTATGTATTCCCCACATTTAGCTGTGAAATCCCACAAAACAGACGGATTTAACGGAAGCGGGGGGGAGAGGGGGTCTGCCTACCATCAAAATCAGTGTAGACAGTGTCCTTGAGAATCGCCCCTGAGCCAAAATCAATAAGCTTGAGCTCCCCGTTGCGTAGATCCACCAGCAGGTTCTCATCTTTGATGTCTCTGTGTACCACACCGCAGCTGTAGCAGTGTCTGACCGCCTCCAGAACCTGGCGGAAAAAGCCCCGGGCCGTGTCCTCGTCCAGGGCGCCCTTCTCGGTGATGAAGTCGAACAGGTCCTTGACCAGCTCCGGCCTCTCCATGACGATGAGCCATCCGTCCGCTCGCTCGTAATAGTCCAGCAGTTTGATAACTCCACGAAAAGACGAGCTGACCTTCTTCAGCAGCAGGATCTCCAGCGGCACCATGGCTCCGTTCTGTCACACACGGTCAAATCCGAGCATTAAACCACACGGCATTAACAAGAGGCGGGGAAAGAGACCAAAACAAACCCCAACTTACAATCGTGCCCCACTCGGTCACCCTCTCCTTTGCGACATGTTTGACAGCAACCTAAAACAAAGCAACAATGATGAAGTTATGTTAGAAAAGTAGCTGAATAACACGAGTAACTGTCCCCTTCGTCCTCCTTACCGGTGTGCCATCGGTGATCCGGCTGCCGGCGTAAACTGTACCAAATCCTCCGCTGCCCAGCACCGAGCCCACTTGGTAAACCTTTTCAAAAGGCTCCTTCTCCACTTTAACTGCAAGCAAATGAACAAAAAGTGTCAATTTCCACAAGTAAACGTTGCTAATGTTCACTAAACAGTTACCTGTAACCACATTAATCAAATTATTTCCCAAATTTTACGGCTGTCTGGAAAACCCCGTCGAGTAACGGTAACCTACCCGACTGAAGCTGGATCTTCACTGGTAGGTCCATATTGGAGGGGTTGCAAATATGCGAAAATGAACCAAACTTTGACAGCAACATATTCGAGCTGACAAGCCGGTATAAACGAGTCCCGTTCACAAAAAAGTGGGTAAAAGCAGCACAGTAAAGCGGTGAGGTGAAATCCGGCGCAGTGTAAATGTCGGTGCGGTGTGTTCTCGCTCCAGCAGTGCACCAACTCCGCCGCACCGCGCCCGTTAAAGTCCTGTCACGACCGTTGAGTCGCACACAGATTCCCAAAAACCGGCATCAAAACTAGCTTCAATGTGCCGACGCAAGTACTCCCGTCAAAACTAAATCCTCTTGATGAAGAAAACAGACGTGTACAGCGCCAGTGTCCACAGTCCACTGCGTGGAAATAGCCACAGCGCAGCGTTATTATCCAGAAGAGTGGCCGCTGTCTGTGCTTTGGCGCGGTCTTCCCAAGAAAATATTTTGACGCGTCACTTAGATAACAGTATCCCTCCGCAACCAATACAAATCGACATTTCCATCTAAATTCTTCACAAAATGCGGATTTATAGTGATATTGATGTCAGAATAAAAGCAGAAGTCCAAAATAAGTCGTCACAGTGAGTTAAAATTCAAAATATATTTTGAAATATTAATTTGTACGACGCACTACTTTCTAGTAGTACAAGACGCGTAAGAATCTCTTGTCTGGAAAGCTTGGCGCTGCGATAGCGCTTGCCTTTGAGGAGACGGCCAATTAGATGTCGTTTATAAATACCGTGTTTTGTGTCTGGACCAATCAGGAGAAAGTTTTTGTAACGAAGCAGGCTTTTGAGCGCACGTGGCGGCAATTCTTTCCCCTCCCCATTGGAAATCTGCAGAGAAACAAACTGATGAAAATTCAATAATCACACAACACCCCAGTGACCCATACACCTAAAAGTAAAAGTTCTACTTTAAAAAATATGGGAGAAAATTGTATTTTTGTAAATATGTATTTGAAATTGTAAATTACTTGATAATAATATTATGAAATAAGAAAATTTTACTCCCTGAAAAACATTTTTAGGTAACTTGCTAGCACTTTGGGTTGACAAAATAAAATGCAAAAATAAGCAAAATAGATTAATAATAATAATAATAATAATAATAATAATAATAATAATAATAATAATAATAATAATAATAATAATAGAGCTAAATAAGTTTTAACCCCTTACAATTAAAAAGTTATTGAGGCTAAACTTGCTTCTAACAATTTAACTGTCTTTCAAATGGAGCTCAAAAATTATGTTTTTTTTCTTTCTTGGCAATTAAGATGTAATGATAATAGTTCAAAGGGTTGCATAGCACAAGGGCTGCATTTTCAAAATGCTATAAGAGAACTTTATGTCAGGTGCTGACGAGAATGAAAACAACGTTGTACAACAATTACAGGAATAGCACATGGAAACATAATCAAATGGTTGGATGGGCCAGCTGTTACAGTACATCAAGTCAACTTTCCAGTTTTAATATCAAACAGCAGCATGACCTTGGCTCTCAGTAAACTTTCCATTTTTTATCTCGTCACCCCCACGATTGAGCATGTGTGTGTCGTCGCTAACCAAATACAATCATTAGAATTCCAGGGACTGTTATCTCCCCATGGCCTGCAAAATTATGGAAATGTACACACACACACACACACACACACACACACACACACACACACACACACACACACACACACACACACACACACACACACACACACACACACACACACACAGTAGACCAGATTACCTATCTAACCTGCAGCTACTTCACCTTATTTGTTCTTTGTGTGAAACTTCAGTCATACGTGCTACACACATGTTCGTTATTATTCATAGCAGGTTTCCAGGCTCACTAGTCACCATAGATTTTTATGCATTTGCGTCTTATGGGATACATTACTATGTGCACAGAGCTATATGGAAGAACCTCAAGGGTTGGTTTGCTTTTATCTTAGGAGACATTTACATAAAAGAGTTCAAAGGTGTAATGGATTATGCTTCAAAGGAAATGCATCCAACCCTGCACTGGCGTTAGCAGCAACCCGTTCCCTGCAGATATACCCTCTACCTGATCATTCTGTGCTGGAAGGATTTATTTTTGCAGGTACATAGGTTGTAAGACAGACAGATCCTATTACTAATATCTTGTAAAATTACTTTTATTTAAGGATGTCAATGCAATGAACATTGAAATAATTATGCGACTATTCTATTTTTCCTGGTGATTTTTTCATTTTCACACTCTGCGGCTTTGAAGAAAACAACTGCTATGCATCAACACCTGCAGCTGAATTCAGGGAAGTTAAGTTACAACTTTTGCAAGGTGTTGCTGTAAGGAATGGACAAAGTTCATCAAAAATCTGCTAGAAAATTTTCCATAGACCAAAGTTCTATAGCTAAGGTGGATTTCCCAACATCATTCAAGGTTTTAGCAGCTCACAGAAATTGTGACTGAGCTGAATAGGGAGCCTAAGACACGCCCATCTACTTCTGCACCATGGGTCCCCGGAAGAACAAAAAAAAAATGAACGCAAGTCAGCGGGGCTTTAAACGTTATTTTCTGATCCAGTTTGTTATGTGCCATAGATTTCACATGTAATGTCAGTGAGTTTTAAAGTCACATCCTGATTATAAGAAAGTGCTTATTGTCGAACAGAGACAAAAGTTTAAGGTTTTCACACATTTTAGGTTTTGTGTGAAAAATAAATCCTGGACTAAATGCTCATCAACAAATTGACATCATTGAACCAGACACGGAGAAAGGCTGAAGAAAAATGGTTGTAAGTTTAGCGAGCTTCGAATCCTTCTTTCAGGAAAGAAGGAGCGAACCACCATAAATCTGGCCATGTGGAAAGGAGCAACTACGCTGGCCAGAGGAGATTCTGTGGTGATGTCATATATGAGACGTACCAACGTCTGATTTCATGGTCATAGGAATTATGAATTTTTACAAACAGATAAATCTTCAAGTACGTGACAGGCATGGTCAAAACACACATCATTCCTTTTTGTCTAAATTAAAGTACAACATATGTGTGATTCAGGTCGTAAGGCAGAGCCAATTAGAAAACAGCTCTTTTAGCCCCGTTGAGCCCATGAGCCGACCGGAAAGATTCCTTATTCCCTATCATCAGTTTTTACACAATCAAAGTTGAAGTTTAATGATTTTTGGAGATTGTTTCAATGAATGTTTCATGATGTCACTGACTTTTGAACTGCCGAAAATGTTCTATTCTTCTAAAAAAATCCTTAATCCCACAACGTCTTTGGTCCATAAAGAAACCACACTTCTACATCGAAACATGAACCGTTTTTTCTTCTTTCACTATGTGTGTTTTTCACTGCTACAGGAATCTCACTTTCCTCTCAAATCTTCTCAGGACGAGACGAGTATGCACCTAGGTTTCTGTTGGACTCAGCTAGCTAAAATGCTGATCTTCAGAACTGGAAGTAAAATACATTTTTAACTTGTCAGATTTGCTGCTCACATCAGAATTCTGTTTAAAAATCAGTTTTTCTGTCTTCTCAATAAATTTGTTATAAACCTCTGCGACCACAATGAGCCAGCTTTAACGTGTCTTTATTTATCCATCTTCTTTGCACTTCTCATGCAGTTTTCCATCAAAACGTTGGCATGCCATCTTTGCTTAGATGATTACAAAGTTAAAGTTGGAATTTAGGTCAGTAGTTGCCTTGACACGCGTCAAAGTTTCATTCAAAACATTTTGGTTTAAGTTTACTCTTTTTCTCACAGGAGATTTAGAGTTTTCAACATTCACATGTGAAGCCTGACAGTTTCCGTGAAAGTTTCCCACAGTTTAAACAGGTTAGCACAGGTTAACTGGAAATACTAAACTGCCTTTGGATATGAGCTTATATAAGTATTCATGTCTCTGGTATTTGTGCATAATTTGTGGTTTCACATGTAGTCACGTAGTTGAGATGGATCATGGATGAATGCATGAAATACACTTTACTTTTCCCACAAAAATGTGCAACAGCTGGACCAAAACTTCCCTTTCTATACGCTTTCTAGCAGTGGTTCCCAATCTGAGGTCTGCACCCCCATCAAGGGGGTCCCTAGATATTGCAGGGTCCCCACAATTTTGTCCATGTTGAAATTGTGAGGTTACTAAGATTATATTTGGAAAAATTGCATTTCTAAAATCCCAATACCACACCCAATAGTTTCATCAAAACTCAAAGTGAATTACAACTCCGTATGTCGGCATAAAGTTAGTAATTATTGATTTTGTGTGTGTGTGTGTGTGTGTGTGTGTGCTTGTGTGTACGTGTGTGTGTGTGCTCGTGTGCATGTGTGTGTGTGTATGTATGTGGATGCCTGTGTGTGTGTGTGTGTGTGTGCTCGTGTGCGTGTGTGTGTGTGTGTGTGCCTGCGCGTGTGCACGTGTGTGTGTATACATACATGTGTGTGCATGCATGTGTGTGTATGCATGTGTGTGTGTGTGTGCTCGTGTGCATGTGTGTGTGTATGTGTGTACATGCATATGTGTATGTGTGTGTATGCATGTATGTGTGTGTGTATGTGTGTACATGCATATGTGTATGTGTGTGTGTGTATGTGTGCACGTTAGCACCAAATCTGAGTCATCTCAAGGCACTTTAGAAAGTAAACATTCCAATTGAACAAACATATACCGGTAAGTACACTGAATTCAGTTGATTATGCTAATTAGTTAAAAGTTTCTTATGTGAGGAAACTCAGCAGATTGCAACGAGTCACTGACTTGCTGTGTCTGTGACTTTACAGCAATCCCCATGCTAAGTAAGCATGTAAGTCCCATAGTTGTCACACACACACACACACACACACTGGTGTGTAGTGAAAATTATCTTCCGCATTTGACCCATCCCCCTAGGCAGCAATGAGCTGCAGACATGACTGCATTCAGGAACTATTTGTTAGTTTAACCCCCCAATCCAACCCCTTAAGCTGAGTGTCAAGCAGGGAGGCATTGGGTCCTGTTTTTTAAAAAGTCTTTGGTGCTACCCGACTGGGATTTGAACCCTAATGTCTCTACCACTAGGTCACTGAGCCGTTTGTAGCGAATTTAGCAACAGTAGAGAGGAAAACTCCCCTTTTACACGAAGAAACCTCCAACAGAACCTGGCTGAGTGTGAAACATCTGGGAACCACTGACCTAGTGGATATGAGTGGATGTGAAGAAATCATTGTCTGTTCTTTTCACCCTACAAGCCTCTCCACATTGCATAATGTGTTTAAATCACAGTTTGAATCCTACAATCCTCTAATCCAAAGCCTGCAGATAAAAGCCGGTTTTGCCTTAAACAAAGTTCAGGTAAGATGAGAAGCATTCATAAATCCAATCATAAGCTGGTTTTTCTGACTGTCAACCACCTGAGGGGGGAGTCAGGCAGTTTGCCAAAAAGCTGACAGCTAAAGTACAGACAGCTG